GCCTTCCTTTTACCATCCGTTTGTATTACCCATCTCCATTGCACGTCTCCATTACAGCCCACCTTGAATTAACATAATTGGCACATAATATTGGTTGTAAATATCATGTTTCTGAATACTGGTCAAGTTTCAAGACACAATGCGCCCAATTTGAATGGTTTAGTTGCAACAGGATAGCGTATTGGAGTTAAGACGCAAAAAAAGTTGTAATATTTCCTGGCACAATATAGGCATATTTTACATTTTAATGCATAGCAGGGCTGGTATAAATTGCATATGCATGAGTTTGAAGGCAGGCCGATAGTGTTTACCTATATAAAACAAAACCGGTTGAAATCATCCTGACGATACACTTAATAGACATAATGACGACACGAAGTTAACACACCGTCGTCTTTTTTGTAAGGACTTAGTTAAAATTATATAAAGAAGTCTAGTTCTGAAAAATAACTGAATGTTCTTGCATAAATATCTAAAATAAAAAATATGAACATTTAAGCTACTTCAAGACAAGACAGCAATATTTTGTGTAGAAAAGGTAAACAGTAATGATCATGTTATTGGGAAATAATATTTTACTTACTCTAGAGGAAATCGTACACAAGCTACGAATTGAGTGTTACTTGTTTTGCTAATAAGTTTGTAATGAACTGCCTAGGTCTAATGAAAATTTATATATTCTGTCTTTTTCTAATTTATAGTCATATAACATGGTTATCAAACCAACTTTTATTGTTTTGTACGAAATTCAATTGAGCTGTTCCTACTTTGATACCGGTATCAAGGTTAAATTAGCAAGAATAAATGTATTTTCCATTCAGCTACACTCGAGACCTACTTCTCTTGAATAAAAGGCAGAGCTTTTAACACCATCTAACAGTAAAATATTATGGCCAAGTCGGATAGTCTTCCTCTGAACTGCATCAAGTATAGACAATGTAGTTGGGAGAGCAGGTCCACGGATATGTGAGCAGCACTCCTGGTCTGGTCGTGTCTGGTGACTAGTCAGAGGAAAGATCTCTGTGTGACCGATGACAAATTTTTGTGACAAATCATGCCATGAGTGATCTGTGATGTACCAAAAAATGCAACACGCTACATTGATTTAAGCATAAATTGCTTAACGTACTTGATACTGATAAAAGTTTCAGTTATACCTAATAAAAAATATGTGACATGCGAATGTACACAACATGGGAAATTGTGTATTTACTCTACGTATTTTTCAAAGCATTTATTATTTATAATGCTCTGGAGGTTCAGTCTGCAATATAGAGAGAACAATCATGTGGGTAAACAAAAACCAATCAAATCAACTAAAAGTTAACAAAATGTGGTCAGCATCTATTGGGGATTTGACATACAATGAAAATAATCATCCCTCTCTATTTCAGTTATACTGGATACTGAGTAATTATTATAAAATGTTTTGCTATCTGGGGATTAGCCACATGTTGGTTTACCAGGAGGTCTCAGTAATACACTATTTTGCCTCAAATTGCTGTGGCTCCTTTTTCTATTAATTTACTCTGTTTTTTAACCCATGGCATTTGACACTACACAGTCCATGTTAGACAATACTAGCTACAGATTGGGGAACGTGAATAGGTAATGAACTATTTAACAGAATCCTAGAAATAACCTATAGACATGTGTAAAAGCGAAACATAATCTTGAGAAGTACACCTATTAGCACAAATATTGGAGTAAAGCTTCTTTTTACTTCCCATGCCAAAACTGGCCAGAAAAAAAAATGGAAATTGGTTTATAATCGCCTGTCTGTCCGCTAATTTTATAACCGCCTATAAATTGAGAAGTAGGATGTAGCATTGTAGTTTTTGAAAACCGGCCCAGTGGCGACAGAGAGAAAAAGTCCAAAAGCGAAAAACGTAAACACCGCCTAAGCTTCGTTTTTTAAAGTTTCACAGAATCGTGATCATTTAAAAAAAAATCAGAGGTAAAAATACTTGGGGATGGGGTTGCAGGAAGGTTTATCTCAATTTTTTATGTTAGTACGCTTATACGCCTCAACCTTGGTAATTTTTTACATGCTTATCAGACATATTTCAAACATCATAGATTTCTCTGTACATTAGCCCTTAAAACTTCACATATTTTTACCGTGTCACAGCACAACATAGTCTTTATTATGCTGTCGCAGCTACGTCTGACCGAGTCAATTATCGGTGAGAGGCGACGTTTCCAGATACACTATGGACCTGTTTAATAATCCTTCAATCAACTGATCACGGAGTTGCGTGGGAAGTGCAGATTCAACCTACTTGACGCCATTTCATAGAATTAGTACCAATTATCTCATCCGGTAGACTTGCAACATATGGAGCTATCTTAATCCAGATTGAAAGGAGACCAAGGATACCATCGACAGTGTCAGTTATTTACGACAGTATCCTTGTTACGTTTCATACAGAAAATTTTGGAATGGAGCCGGTTTTTAATCTGGTAAATTGAGGCGTTGTCAAACAACTTACCAGCTATTATGGGTCGACATTGTTGTCCTGAAGCAGAGGATCGGTGCTGTGACTGCAAGGGGATTTTAAGGGGCACAGTCGGTCTTCTAACTCTTGTCTCTTGCACCTGGACAGCAGATGCATGCCGTAAATTTCCCCTTTCCTGACATGATCGTAGTGGTTGGAGTTTAATTGTGTTGGATGTGTTAGAGATAGAAGTGAATATTAAAACGGGATAAAAGAGTAGGGAGTTTAATAATAATTATAATAATAAATAAATGTCCGTTGTTCGTCACAGCATTACAAAATAATTGGCGTAATCGGACCTAAAAACATTGAAACAATTGATATTGTTATGAAGAAAAAAGTACCTAAATTTAAATGATACAGTTCACAACATTGACCGCCAAAAAAAAATTTAAATATTATCCACTTCTCAGAAAAAGGAAACAATCAATTATCTGTGAATATGCGTAAAGTTAATCCGATTACCTTAAGCTCTTTTTTTTTCAAAGTTGCTTAGGCTATACAAATATTTTTTATACTCACTTGACAAGCAGTTATATAGTTTGGGTACCCAGTACAAAGTATGAACAATGGTGTCGAATGCCCCGGGATGAGTAAAATGCGTTTAATCCTAGAGGATCTTCGATCGCACTGACAGAGGAGGGGCAGCTTTGTATAAAGAAACTATGGCGCTTTAAGGAGAAGGGTATTATGTACCAGAGATAGGCAATGCAGTTTCCTCAATTTGTCCATCTTGAACCATCTCCTATCTTCACATTAATCTGTGCTTTTGAGTGTTTGCAAAAAGTTTTAGGTAAATCTATTATTGGAATAAAAGGTTGCGTTCACACTACCAATCCTAATATAGCCCAACAAAATGTTGGGTAATATATCCTTTAGGTGTATTTGCATACACCTTCAAGAAAGTCCATTGAAAGATTACGGAGCTTCATACAAAACTACTACCTCCTACTTCACTCCAAAAATTCCTTCTTAGTTCTAGCTTACTCTATAAAAAACATCTCTGGAAAATTTCCACGATTCTGTGTTCAGCGGTTTAAGCTCTGCGTTGATATGTCAGTGAATGAATGAGTCGGCGTACTCCTTTATATGTTTTGCATACCTAGACGAGTAATTACAGATTGTAACTCTGCCATGAAATATTGTGATAAAACAAAATGCCTACATGCATCTGTTGCTGGCAGACCTACCTTCGAAAGTTTTCAGTAAGGGTAACTGTGGGATGTATGTTCGCATACAGAGGTTACATTCTGATTATGTGCCACTTTGCTGCGTACGTTAATCCTTTGTGCTCAAATAGAAAGCGGAAAAGGTAAAGTCAGCCCACGTTGTTTGCACCGTTCCAGAGACGGAGTCAAGGTTGATACCCTTTCAACTTAAAATTATGCGACTTGGTATGTGGACTGTAACGATGTAACTGCACGACGAAGGTTGATTGTGCAATTATAATCGGTGACAGGTGTGTCTATAGCATGTACGGTACACGCCTCCTGGTGGTTAACATGTGACTGCGAATGCGGATGTTACGTTTCTGGAACACTCAGTTGGGTTTGATTTCTGAATTTCCTACCATTTAATTGCTAGGTGAAATAGCAGCCCCTCTTTGAAAGGTGAGCCAAAAAATAACACTATCTCGCCAACTGACTAAACTCCAAGCACTCTCCAGAGTACGCTTTAGCTCAGATTGAATGTTATCTAAATGAACTATCGCTCAGAATTAACATGACTCGTTAAAACAGACAATGCTGAGATTTAGCTGCTGAATGTTAGTGAACACAGTCAATGACACTCTCATTACTAGGTCTTATGACTGACCTTGCTAAGGTCAACTTTGAGCTAAGGTAAACCTTTACTTCCATATTTTTGTTGCAAGTCAAAGACGACGACTGCTTAACACGTTCGCTGCCAAGCAATATTTATGATTATGCCACCAAAGCTACTAAAAGAAGACCAAACAAAAAAAAGTTCCCCTGGAGCCATTTTGTCCAGTCAAAATTTATTAGTTATGATTACGTTACCTGCAGTTACTTTCTTTGTAGGTGTCATTTTCATCTCAAAATTGTCAAATTTGTCACTCGGTCCAACAGACCGAGGCGGCGTGGAAGTAGCTTTTTTATCATATGCGCCAACTCGGTCCATTTCTCGGTCCGCAGCGATTTTGCGCAATCGACATGTTTCTTCAAGTCAGCACGTGGTGTCTATTGTCTTTCTAATTGCATTTCAGTACGTACACATTTTCAGACGGAATAGACGGTTATTGTTATTATTTTTGAATGTAGTTTGTGTTTCTACAATGTCCATAAATCGTGATTTGACGCAGAAAGAATTAGAAGAAGAGATAGAGCGAATTATGTAAAATCTGTCAGATGAAGCATCTGCATTAGAGGATGACGGTAAGAAACATTCTTTATTTCGTAGATCGATCGCATAGACTTTTGAGTTTCCGAGAATAGCTAGACTGCAAAAACGTACAATCCTTCATGCATTTATTATTTTTTTCAGACGATAGTATCGCAGACAGCAACTACGAACCTACTGATGATGAATCATCTGGTAGTTCCGATACAAACTCTACTGCCTCCCCCATACTTGCGCAAACCGCAGACACCAATGACGATGAGTTATCCGTTACTTCTGGGACAAATTCTCCATTACAAGGAAGTAGTGCTGCCTCCGCGCCTAGGTATGCCAAAAACAGACACAGATGACAATTTAGCTGGTAACGCCGGCGCCGCCTCGGATAATATGATATGGAGTATTCCAACAGGTAGACAACCAGCTTTATTACCCTTTTACCAAACAAACTGGTACTGAACCCCATCTTGCTGAGCTTTTGCGTGAAGAATTAATGACTCTATTTTTCAATACATTGCTGACCAAACGAATCTATATGCCACGCAAGTTATTACAGATGAAGCAGATGTAAAAGGTACATCTAGGTTACATAATTGGTTTCCTACAGATAAAAATGAAATCAAGAATGTTTTTGGCTTGCTTTCATACATGGGTATTGTAAAAATGCCTAATATACAAGCCTATTGTAGCCGAGAAGCTATGTATACAAAATCTATAGCTTCTAAAGTAATGACACGTAATAGATTTGAACTGTTGCAACGTATGTTGCATTTTGCAGATAATCAGGATAATCCAGATAATGATAGACTGCATAAGATTCAACCTTTGATTGACAAAATAGTACATAATTTTAAAACATCATATGAACCTTCCGAGACTTGTTGCATTGATGAGTCCCTTATTCCATTTAGGGGAAGATTAATAATGCGACAGTACATAAGAAACAAGCGCTATAAGTATGGAATAAAAGTATTCAAATTATGCAGCAAAGGAGGATATACCTATAAGTTTAAAATTTATGCAGGAAAAAATTTAGACCAAGGTCATACTACACCCACATCTGTAGTTATGACTCTTTTCGAGCCCATACTAGATTCAGGCCGCACTCTTGTAACAGACAACTGGTATACAAGTGTAGATTTGGCAAAAAGATTGATGGATAGGCAAACATATTTGATAGGCACATTGCGAAAAAACAGACGAGGCCTTCCCAAAGACTTGGTCAACAAAAAACTTAAATGTGGAGAGATAGAGGCTCTCGAAAATCAGGACGGTGCCACAGTAATTTCCTGGAATGACAAACGCAACGTTTTAGTGCTTGCTACCAAACATAGCAACATAACAGTAGACACGACAAACCGCAGACAAAAAAACTGTAAAGAAGCCTGAAGCCATTGTAGCATATAACGCAGGAAAGTCGTCGGTTGATATCTCTGATCAGATGACAGCTTATCAGAACCTTTAAGTGGTATCGTAAGTTAGCCGTAGAGATTATCCTGAATAGTGCAATGGTCAATGCATGGAATATGCATAAGGAAACTGTGAACGCCAGAATTTCCTTACTTCAGTTTCGAAAAGCTGTTACATACAAGTTATGTCAAGCGCGAGACGATGGGTTAGCAGAGTAACCAGATGCAGAGATGATTCCAAAAAGAAAACGCCAAAAGCACCAAATGGGCAAAAGTGATTATAAAAAACGAAGACCTTGCAGTAGATGCTATGAAAAAGTGAGAGCCGAAAAAGGATGGAAAGTAGCACGAAAACTCAATAGAGGACGTTATTATTGTAAAGGTTATAATGGTGAACCGTTTTTCTGCTTATCATGCTTTAATAAGTTTCATAGATATGAAACTCCTTAGATAGAAATAAGTTTTTTTTTTACGTTTTTTATATATTATTATGTAAACTAGTGGTTTTAGTTCTAGATTTTTGAAAAAATAAACGAATTATAAAGTAAATTATTGTTGTTTCTCTAACCTGCCATATCCAGAAATAAAATAAGCAAAATATTAAAATTCAATCAATTTTTTACATAACTGATATGTGTCAACAATCCTCAGACGCCAACTCGGTCTACTACCAGCGTTAAACCAATGCAAAATTAAACAGCTGGCGAAAGAGGATTGAATATTCGGCTCGGTCTAATCGACCGCATTGGCGAGGCTGGCAAAATTTCTTCTCGGTCTTATGGACCATGATGGCGAATAAGACAAACACAACTTTGGTCTTATAGACCGAGTTGGCAGCGAACGTGTTAAGCTGGAGTTTATCACGTTACATGTCAACTTGGCAGTCGAATTTTATATATAGTATGTGATGTAGACTGGTCTTCTAGTACCCAACACGTGTTTCGCTATCTGCTTTAACATCTTCGACCTAAGATGAAATCTTTGAATGGAGAAGCATATTAACAATACTAAAATATACATATAAGTAGATTGAAATTGAATGACGGATTAATCGTGACAGTTGCCACAACCTTTGTATATATAACACTCGCGAAGAACAAAATGAGGATTTGCCTCCAGACTCAAACGATATTTCCAACTTTACAAAGATACTGCAGGATGATGAATTATCGAATATGCCAGTGGTTCAGGGTCATACAAGTTAGGGCTAAATCTTCCATATTTCAAAAATTGATCAAATGAGAAGAGTGAAGATTGGCCCATCATACCCCTGAAGATTTGGAGGTTTATTTATATTAAGTTTAAGTATCTGTTTACATTTACACCAACTCTGTTATAGATTTCTTAATGTAGTAAACCAAGAAAACTAAAGATGTGTAAAAGTCAGTAGATTGCGAGTGAACTGAAATCGTTGTATTGGATATGCCTTAGAAGATGAAAAGTATTATGCTTCTGATGTTGAAAGTTATTTTTTTTAATTCCTGTAGGTACAACAGTTCTTGTTTTTTAATTCCTCATATTTCGTTTGTACCAATATTTTTCTTGTTTACCCTTCAGAGACTTCTAATTTTATATACATAGTTTACTTGATCTGTTTCCTTTTCAGTTTCTTTACTTGTTAATGCATCACCATCCCAAAGATTTATTGAACCAAGTATGGTTTTTTGGTTCGCATTACTCAATATGAGGTCCTTGTTCTTTCTCTGCCCACCTCCACGTGCCATACATAGGTGTATCTTTTCATCCGTCACCACTTTTCTTACGGTTCTCTTTATGATATAATAGAATTTTTTAATATTTTCTATATTTCTTGCAATATGACTTGGGGTATGGGAACTGAGCATGTCGGTCACTTTTCCCCATTTACTTCCAAATTATTGCGCCTATTTTTTTTGTCGTCACTTATGAAATTCACTTGATTCACAATATTAACACTGACAGTCACAAAACAGACAACCAATTCAGTCAACTGATTGTCAGCTACCGACGAAATTCCCATAAAAGTTGGAAATATCTCCATATTCATATTCCGTTTTGATTTTCCATCAGAGCAAATCCCTGTTTGATACAAAGCAAAAAACTGAAAGTAGATATAAGCTGGCGGGACAAATATAGTTAGTACAAATGCACTATTGTCAGATGTAAGTTCATCTTAGCTAAATTTTCACCAGACACTGAGTGGCTCAACCCAAAATCGAAACGGGACAATAAGTTTGTTCGGTTCCGACAACGTCTCGAATTTCACTTAGATGTCCTCATTCTGTATCACCACCACCGTGTAAACAAGACTTTAGCATATAACCTCGATAAAGGGATTCCATTTCCTTTATCTTTGGAACCACAGATAGGAGCATTTTTTTGGAAATTAAAACATTATCCTGACTTTAACCTAATATAACAGCTGGAAAGTTCGTAGGCCAATACTTATGTGCCGTTACTAGAATTGAATCCAAATGAGTTTTATGTTAGTTCAAGATACACAAGTATCTTGATAGAGCTCGTGAGATATAGCGCTGTGAGCGAAATAACTTTTGTGTGTGTGAAAAATTGCATAATTACGTTGTATCCACGACAACCATGTTGAACAATTCAATCGAAACGAATCTTACGAAAAATTTGTTTTACTTTACTAGCCTACAATTTGTTCAGTACAAAATAGTGGATAAGCTAAATTGTGTTTTGAAGTAGCTGAAGTAGAGAAAAGTAAGATTTTGACAAAACTGTTAATCGGTTGAACCCGCACTTAAATGGTCCTGCAGTTTTCTGAGGTAACAGTGCCAGATAATACAATTGACTGATTTTTTAGGTCACGCTTGGGTCTGAAGGATTCGAAAATAAAAACATATTCGACAGCATTTGGAGTTATTGATGTTCCTTCTTGAGCTAAAGATGGAACTCAAGGGTGGCAAATAAACATGGTTGCGCTCTCCAAACACTTGCGAGCTATTAATGATGAGTTAGTGTGGATACAATGGATGAACTTCATACATTTGAGGCCAGAACTCACATCACTTCAACTATTTATTGGTCCATTCTGCAAATAGATTTCCTTTCGTGTGCCACTGCTTTTAAATTGAGAATAAGTGCCTTTATTGTTAGGGTATGGAACTTATTGACTATTGATTTAAAATTTTCTTGTTGTGGTCTGCTTCCGAACATATCGAACGGATTGGGTCATCCTTCAACAATTCTGGCGGTATAGTAGATACGGTCTACTCAATACAAGATAGTTGCTTAGCTTTCGTTAGTTGCTCTACCGGAGACCAGGCCTAGATGATACTGAGGGTTACCAAAAGCACGAAACCCCTGTTTTCCGTGGTTTGCAGTCTGGCGAGTAAACTTTGTTTCTTATACCGCCAGAATCGGCGGCATCTGGCGGCCACAACTAAGATCCATTTACTTTATGTGGTGTCCTTTAAACGTAAGCTTAATTAGGTTCAAATGAATTTATTTGAGGATGCTCAAGCAGGTGGAAGAAAGGGACTAATGAATGCCACTTTGGTAAGTGTACTACGACACTCCACCTGCACAAATGATTTAATAGGAGTACAACTTCACAATGTTTTCTTTTTGAGTTCTGGCATGTTGAAGGTAATCATGCTAATGCCCTTTTAGAGACAGCTGATCGTTTATTTTCACCCTCGCAACGCTAGCTTCTACGGGTTTCGACTCGCACTACCCACTCATTCCACTCCCTTTTAAACCCGACAATGTAGTAAGGGCGACGTCAATGTGGAGGCGCCTAAACACACATCAGCTCTTTCGGGGTTAGCTGGTAGTATTTACATTTGTGCCAAAAAAAGAGGAGATAATTAAAGCCTGGCAGTCCGGAGAAGATAACACTTGTATTGAAATTGTGGCTATTCCGTAGTCTGATATGTATGCTCTTATATGATTGTGTTATAATGACGATTTTTTATAGAATCCTAACCGCGCTCACGTAGATAAGTCTTACCTAATGCTGCTAAGAAGCATTGCTCTGAAAAGCTGTGGTTGAGGAGCATCGATGACTCAGTCTGAAAGCTATTCTGTCTTACTGAGAAAAGTGTAAAACTCAAAGGGATTTAACTTTAAATCTGTCAATCTTAGGGGCTTATGAAGCAAGCTGATCCTCGATTCGCTCCTGGTATAAAAAGCAAATGAACTTTACTTACATACGACCTCCATTCTGGCCTCTCCTTGAGCTGATGCAAAAGAGGGCGCCTCTGCTGACACTTCACACCTGAACAGGCCGCTCGTCTTCCAACTGACTGAGTGCAACACCACCTTTTTGCTGTCCGACTTGGAAGTCTGCAATTAAAAACAGGAATGAAATTCTAAGTGCTGGAGAGGCTTCCGTCGGTGAGGCTTTTAATATCTGCATCATTACTAGGAACATGTAACGCATATTTTTGGAATAATGGCAATTATTTACTACTACCACTCGTCAACCATGATTAATTTAGGGCAACAATAGAAATGGAGCTCTAATAGTTTTCAAATGTACATGTCTTAAAATGTAAGTATAAAACGATTATTCTCTTTAATTCTTTTCCGAGTTATCTCTTGTTTTCAATTCACCATGTGAAAGGACATACTATATATATGTGAGAACCATTACTTGTAGTTATTCTGGTAAACAGCAGTATTCCTGTTTTAACATTACATAAGCGACAGATCTATGTAAGGTATTAGCGATTTTATTATTATTAAAACAAATATGGCAAATACAATTTCTAGAAACTGTGTACTATTTCAATTCTACATTTGAAACAGTTCACTTTCGAAATCTATTGTAGTTAGGAATACAAGCAAGCAAGTATAATTGCTACCGGTCGCCTTAAATACAGATGAAATAGGAAGAAATATTTCTACCCCTGTGTGTTGATAGTTAGGATCAAGCAAATGTATATTTTTGACGACGACTGGGACGACGCTACATCTAAAACGGTTATTTAACATACTTTCGTAACCACAGGGCCGATTTTAATGTTTCCTTTC